GGTTGAAGGTTGAATATGAGGATTTTTGTCAGCCAAAATGTCAAGTGTGTGTTGGAAGAATTGTATTGAGTAACCATGGAGTTTTGACATCAGGTTGAGTAAAGCTAAACCAATCTGATGTGCTAGAACATTTTACTTAATAAGTAGACAAGGCAAATACTCAGAGTATTACCAGTGTCATCTTTTACACTTAGTGTATTGAATATTAGTGTGCTTGTAAAACCTGAGTTGTCTTAAAGGTGGTGCTTTCATTAAACTCTTCTTTAGGGATCTTCTGTCAAAGAATCTGACACAAAAGGAAAGGTACCTTTATGTTGGAATTTTGCTGAGGTTTCTGGGACTTACCATCAGTTTCATGAGAGGTATGAATTCACTTGTGAATGCTGTGATGGATCTACTTACAGTGAGGTTGATGGAAGTTTTCTGTTCCTGAACCAACATGCTTTGTTTAGCTGCGACTTCCTGCAGCAAGCTCTTGGAAAACTTGGTGTTCACTGACAGGCAGCTTAGATAAATAGGATCATTCCTACTTTGTGTGGTTTTCTTTTTCTTCAAAATACTGGTACTAGACATCTTTCTGCAAAGAATTATAACTTGGTAGGGAGGGAAGATGAACTGAAACCCAGGAATTTTTTGCGTCCTAGTTTTGCTAACTACTTTCTGCCCTTGGATATTTTCCCTTGAAGCTTAGTTTAAAATAACGTTCGTGTGGCACTTGTGAACAGAGTTTTCACCCAGGCTGGTTTGCAAAAACAAAGCATACACAACAACCTCCACCAGCCCATGGGATGTGGTGAGGGCAGAGTTCAGGGCTGTGGCTTTGGTTCAGGCAAGGTCAGTTTAGCTAACCTGTGCAGGGCCACAGTTTCCAAGTGTCACAGTTGTATGTGCTGTCTTTGGTAGAAATCCCTCTCCCCCTCACAGCAGTTCTGCTCCTGGCCTTGGTCAGCTCCTGTGAAGTCTTGTCCAACTGACCTGTGGCTAATCCTGGAGTAATCTAATCCCCACAGTGTATCAAAAATGTAATCCCCTCACCATGACCCACGTGACAGGAGCTGCCTGTGCTGTTGAGTTGTGTGTTTTGTGTTTCCCCCAATACCAAGTGTTCACTCTATGGTTATTAGATCTCTTATGTTCAAATAGTTGTTGAATTTCCCTCTAGGAACTGCTCTGGGGTTCCAGGTTAGAGTTTAAGGCTTGACACAAGGTCGTGTGTAAGTTACATTCCCGATCACTGAGAACTCTGATTTTTTTTTTGCAAAAGGCTCTGGAATTTATAGGTAAACTCTTGACTTCCAAGAGTTATTTTCTTTCATCTTGCCTGCTACTGCATTGATGCATCTAGGAATGCCTGGCTGTTTTTGATTGATGATCCTCCAGAATAAAATCAGCAGGTTTAGATTTAATTTATGCAACATTTTAGGACTAATTACATGACAACCTGCTGCCAAAATTTCTTGGGTTTAGCTCCTGCAGTAATTCTTCTGTGTTGCATTTCACTTGAGGTTTGTTTACTGTGTGTAATGAGCATCTACTGCATTGCTGTAATGCCCTGGATTTATTGCACAGCCTAGGAAATGAAGATCAAGTTAAAATACTAGAAAAGTAAGAGTCGAGTTTAAGTTCTATATCCCAGTCTGTTGCTTCTCACAGCTTCATCTCCTATTACACAAATAGTAACTTGTGCTTATAGTGGTTTTTCTTTTTTAATCTCTAGGTTAGCCATTTTTTTCAATCTTCACAGATGTTCCATTATTTTTAAACCTGCTGGATTTAGTAAGTACTCTTTAATTACTGAGATTGATTATCTGCCTTATTGTCCTCACTCCTGTCTCGATTTTATCAAGTACTGGTCAATGTGAATATTGTAACACTTACGTAATAGTGAAAAATAGCGCCAGTATAGTTCCATAACTAACTCAAAAGGTGTAAATCCACCTTTGGGATTAACATACTTGTTTTACACACTGCTGTGTTATGGTGCTTGAGATGTGAGGGGATTTTTGGGGTTTTTCTGGAAGAAGCAAACCCTGGTTCTGGCAGTTGACTCCAGCAGTGATCTTGACAGGAAAACTGGAGCACCTGCAGATAGGTGTAAGGCAGAGGGATGAAGACTAACCAAAACCAAACGAGATGTAAAGGAAGAGGAGCCCATCCAACACCATACAAGATAACTGCATGTGTACCAAAGTAATAGGAACTACATTCCTTCCTGAATTAAACCACTTGAACCAGAGCCATTTAAGACCAAACACAAACTACTGCCAGCTTAGTGAAAAGAATTTATTAGAAACTGTTAAGCACTACACAAAACTAGATTTTAGAGTATTTTTTTCAGTAGACAGCACTCCAGCCTTACGCTACAAACACCGAACTGTGGACTCTGGACAGCCACTGTGCTCCTAAGATACACCTTTAGGATGAGACATTCAAGCAGCATGCACAGTGAGACAGGAGTGCAAGGAAAACCCTTCTGATTTGCATAAGTTCACAGCATGTACACAGTTTTGTAGTTGTTTTCCTCAAGGCAATTTGGATTGAAGGTATTACTGATACCCTGGAGGCATCAGGGGGCTCAGTGTCCCCACCACTGCCTCCAGTGCTAGTGCATGTTGGGACTCTTCAGTACAAGGAGTTTCAATAAATAGGAATACAGCTTTCATACTACTTCAACAAAACATGACTACGAGGTCACCTTCTCAGGCAGCTGTACCAACAGTGACCGTGCTGCTTTTTGGGAAAAACAGGAGGACACTCTAGATTAAGGCAATGCATTTCTTAAATTTAACATAGAAATTGTAACAAACTGCATATTTTTCTGATAAGCTCTGAAGTATTTCATTGTAAAAAATAAAGTTACTGATCACATGCTAATCTATCTGATATTCTTCATTAGGTTTTGAAATACAGTGGAGCCTTACTATAGTCACTGCCCCAACAATGTGGCAGCCAGTGACAGCTTATCTTCCAGCCAGGAGCTGCAAACCAAGGAATGAATGAACACTCCCCTCTTCCAGTTCAAGTCCTCCATAGTTTCTTCCCACCCAATTTCCAACTCTCCTCCAAAAAGTGAAAAAAGCCCCATAAAATACTTCTCTGACTCCTGAAAGATGCTTTATAGCAAGGCTCAACTGTGTAGAGTAAAAAAGATACAAAAAGTCATTAAGATCCAAAAATTCAGAGAAGGAAAATGCAATAAAAACAGAGTACGCATGGCGTGATAAACCACCACAGACATAGCAATTTGCTACAGTTTTCAGAAAGTGCTAACCAATTTTAGCTTAAAATAGTTCAAGAGATCTTACAAATTGCTACCACAGTGTAAAACTGAGTATTTTGAAAAATCTAAAACCTGGCTTGACTGTAGAAAATGTATTATATCTGTTTCTAATTTACATAGCATATGATTTAGGCACAGAAAAATAAATATAGACAGTCAAATGCTTCATTAAGTCTGCAGAAAGCTATAGTTACACCCACGTGATCCAAATCTTTTGTGTGTGTGTGTGTACAGGGATGGGAATCCCTTATTTCATCCTCAGGCTTCTGCAAGAGTTATGTACAGGGTGAGGCTGTTTTCTGCCAAGAACAGGCAATTGAGGAACTAGTGGGTACACAGAGATAATTTATCAGAAAACTCAACTTATACTTTCTGTCAAATGGTTTATTCCTACTTTTGGGCCAGGAGACCTCGGGCTGGGGCAGAAGCCAACCTGAGCCACCACCAGAGATTGTTACAGCATGGCAGGACTAGAGGGCTAGGGACAAAACGTCACTCTACTGCTGGCTGAGAGTGAGGGAACAAATACATGTACCTCAGACTAAGGCTCTTCCTGCACTCAGAAGGAGAAGGATCCCAGGCTGTTCTTTCCATAAGGAGTACATAGTGATCTCAGTGTTCCAGCAGTCCTCCCTGCTTAAGGTAAAACTGGTTTTACCTTAAGTGTAAAAGCATTCCCCTAGCACATTCCATGACTCTACATCTACTTTTAAAATGCTTGTGGTACTCCTAATAACCTCTCTCCATAAAAAGTGCTTGGGAAAGCAGGAAAACACGTGATTTCCATGGCACAGTCACTGACACCAGCCTGGGGATCCATGTACAGCCTCTACTTAACGAAGCAAAGTATTATGCAGCTAAGATTGGCACAACTGGCAGTCTCTGCTCAACTGGGAGCCTAGTAACAAATTCCAGCAGCTTTCTTGATTTTACTTGAAGAAGAAACTGGTTCATGTTTCTGAACACCCAGCTGCAGTACACTAATTCCCTGCGAGCTGAGGGCAGGGCTAGACATGAACTGAGGATGTCAGTGGGTGGGGATTGAGGGCTCTCAGCACATAAAAATATTCAAGTTTATCCCACTAACTTGAAACAAATTAAAAAACATCACAAACAAAACCAAGCAGCATAAATTTTATTTGGTGTTACAACAGATGTGCAGTGCCCATTTTACTCTAGGATTTTTCTGTTTAAAATCTAAACAGTTCTTCTGTTCAGACAACTCTGTGTGCGTTTTCAATAGACACATGGTGACCCCTGCATTCAGCCTGGCCAGTTAACACTAGAAATATTTGTCAAGGGAATACATTGTGTCTTTGCTATAATTAGGGAGCAATCAAAAGAAAAATTTTACTTTAATTTGACCGATTACATGTACTGTACATACCTGTCCCAAGCCCAACATACTCAGACAGAAGTGTCTAATTTAATGCACTCTGCTATCCAAGTCAAAATGCTGTACATCTAGGTATCCACACAATGGTACATTCCTAAGGATTCTTCTTTACACCTTTACTCTTTTTAGACATCTGCTTTTAAAAAAAAGGAATAAAGAAGTTGCCCTGCAGATCTATATTTCTTTAGAACAAAACATTATATACTACCTTGAAAAATAATTTTATCAAAACCAAATTCACTGTCATGTACAAATTTCAGTTAACGGTTCATGTTGAAATTGCACTTTGCAGAGAGAATAAAACTAAAAAAATGAAAACTTATTCTATTTCCTTTCACAGGAGACTACCTCTTCAGGATTTTTCTTCCGTGAATGCTTGTATTTGTCTACATATGCCTTCACTAGATTTGCCACTTTTGCAGAATTAACTTCTCCACTCTTGCTATGACAAACCTACAACAGTTTGAAAGAAAAAAAAAGTTTGAAACACTTCTGTCGATTTGCCACAGTTCCACACTATTTACTTATTTCCCCAGCACCCCAGATGTCTCCATCCTGAAAACTCCTAATACTTCCTGATTGCTTCCCAAATACTTCTGAATTACCATTAAACTCTTCCACACACTAACTGAATTCTGTTCTGAGGAGCTAAGAAAGCTCCTGTGGATGGAGAAAGATGAAGGTATTTTTTGCTTGTCCTGTTCCCCCTTCCCAGCAACTCTGAGTTGTTCCCACAAGAGAAGAAATCCACCCCAAGCCTCCCTCAGCTGCAATGCAGCACCTCGAGTTACAGAGCAACTTACTTTGTCTACAGCTTTCCGCACAATTTCTTTATATTCTTCCTTCGTGATGTCTTTATTTTGGTAGAAAGGTTTAATAGCTAGTTTGACCTCTTGGGCTGCTTTTTCTTGAATTAACAGTTTCTGATGAGAAAACAAACCTGAGTGTTACTTTTCACTGCCTGCAGACACAGACTTTTATCAATCACAAATTACAACTTTACAGGAACAAAGGTGCTACAGAAGCCTAGAAAACCACACTCCCCTCACCCACGTTTGAACTCTCCTGGGAGCTGCCTGTGGTCTGCTACAGAATCTGCAACAGAACATTGTCCCACAGCAATTACAGTAATATTCATAGCAGTGATGCTGTCAAGAAGACTACATTAAAGAGTCAGCTGCAGGAGTGAGACACACACGATGCTCTCAAATATATTACACTGAAGGGCTATTGTCATAATCTACTATTTTTCATATATCAAAATACACCTATATAAATATTAACATTGATATATTTTAAACATAAATATGTAAACCAGTGTGTATATATATCAGTATATGCTGAACTTTGAACTTGCCTGGTCCTTCTTGGAGCTATCTGCACTGGCTTCCACCGTTACACTCGCTTTGTTTTCTCCCAGTTTCACAGCTGCATTGGAGCTCTTGAGGTGACCTGATGCCACTGCATTACCCGGACTTGGTCCCTGAACTGTTCCCACGTTTCCCAGAGCTGCTGCTGAGGCAGGCAAGGCTGGAGCACTCATGTTATTACTTACATGAGCAGCGTTTGGAATACCCTGTTTGAAAAAGTTAGCAGTAGTTAATACATTATTCTTCCATAGGACAATGTGCTTTTCTCGGGGTCTCAGCTGCTACAGAAAGAACAGGAATACTACATGAATTTGGGTCATTACCTAATTTCCACAATGTCCATTATTATGGAGGGTGCACACACATTGTATTAGATCCACTCAAAGACAAAAAAGAGAAAAGCTTGAGAAGCATCCTCCACTCTGATCCCAGCGATAGATCAGAGGCACAGGGGGTGCTAGCACAGGGGGAAGGAAGTTGATGGCTGTAGAACCTCTCTACTTATCACAATCCTCTTCTGGAAATCAGATTAACCTTTTTTTTTTTTTAATCGGCACCTAAACACAAAAGGATAGCTTAAACCACCCTATCCTGCATCAGTGCTGTTTTGAAAACATCTATTGTCATGTTTGTTAATCAGCTTGAACCCGGGAATGGTTTCAAATGCAAACACACCACTGACACTAGAGGTGAAATGTTGGCTGAAGCACCAGGGTTTGTTCTTCAGGAAAACCCATTTCCTGGCCATTTCCAAACAGCACCAAAAGAGCACAGGCACTGTAGATACTTAGAACTGAGAAATCAAGTTGCAAAACATCTATTGTCATGTTTGTTAATCAGCTTGAACCCGGGAATGGTTTCAAATGCAAACACACCACTGACACTAGAGGTGAAATGTTGGCTGAAGCACCAGGGTTTGTTCTTCAGGAAAACCCATTTCCTGGCCATTTCCAAACAGCACCAAAAGAGCACAGGCACTGTAGATACTTAGAACTGAGAAATCAAGTTGCTCTCAGACCTCTCTCAGAGGCTATTTTTGGCAAAAGCCCAGAACACATCCTCCCAACACGTTTGTGCCAGGCTATGCCAAATGCTGCGGGTTTTTGCCCATATGCACCTTTTTACACATCTGCATTTATCCAGATGGAAAAGAATGAAACAGAAATTTGACCTTTTTGGAAAGGACACAGAAATGGAGCTGTTATCATCAGCATGCTAATGCTCCCCAGCTCGCTCTCTCAATTTCCCTTTGAACAGGAAGGACAGGTGGAGTCCTGCAGTATTCAGTCGTTTCTACTGTGCTACCACCAAGGGCTTGTTGAATGAAAGCTCAAAGGAGAACGAGCAGCACCTCCCAAGAGCATTCAGGTTCATGGACACCACCCAACAAAAGCAGGCAACAGCAATAAGTGTAACAGGGGTTTTAGAACAAGTAACTATTTTGCAGTAAGACACAATCTTTGTAGAAACATATTTAATGCTGCACTAGATACTAATTTCAGAGGTCTTGTAGCCTATGTTCTGACTTCTCACATTTTTAGAGGTTAAAACCTATTGGATTTCCAATTGAGAAAATGTTTTAATTACAGACAGCAGACATTAATCAAATCAACAAGCCATCTACCAGCATTTTCATTCCAGTAGCACCTTTCAGTGTACTGAAGTATTTCATGTAGCCTGCAAACCCACTCAGGTATTTCCCACAGCACTTCACTCTCCTTCTTACAAGGTAATCATATTAACAGGTAACAGCAGTGGAAAGTGAGAACAATCTAGGCCATTTATCAGTTCACTTCAAATCTGCAGATACGATGCAAGAAAACAGAGGGTTAGAAATCATTGTTCTAGAACATGACTTTTTCAACCTGGAATGCAGGGAAAAGTGTCTTAGTTTAGAACCAGCAGCCTGCAAAAAAAGAAAAGCACAAACCTCAGTCAGTCCCTGAAGAGCCCTTTACTTATCACAAATGCAGTGTAACATCTCCTTGCAGGGCCATGCATTCTCCTCCAAGTTGTTCATACTCCTTTCCCTGACATAAAAGCTCCTAATGTAAGCAGCTCAGGAGGAGGAGCTCACATACACAAACGTTGTTTTACGGTATCTTGAAGGGCATAAAAAGATGCTCTGGCCTGCCAGACATGGCAGTCTTTTTGAAACTGGAGACATGAAGTGGGAGCTGGGTCTCAAACAGAGCGTGCAAAACCAGGAGAGAATCAGGCAAGAAAGGGGAATTAAAAACATACCAAAGAGGCCTTGGACATTATCACCAAAAAGGCTCAAAAGATTAAACAGAATACAAAATGGATGTATGGGGAAGCTGCTGAGATAGTGACAGCTGGAGAATGGAAGTGTGGAACAAATGAGTGCCATGCACTATGTGGTGATTTTCCTCTGCTGATACATCCCATGGGATGAGAATGGCAACACAGGTTTGAGTTCCTTCCTACATACTGCTGAAAGAGGATTCAAGCATTTCCTAAAGCTTAAAAATCAGGTTTGGAAGGGGAAAATTTGGAAACAGGACACTTCTAAGAAAACAAACAAGACCATGGACATCACTGCTGAAATTTTTCAGTGTTCCATTACCAGCTGGAACTTCTCATTACCACAGAAACCCAGTTATGGTGTTGTGTGTTATTATTTAAAAGCTACAGCCCCAAAACAACCCATATGCTCATGGACACTTCCACTTCAAACCTGGTGTGGGGTGGAAGAAAACAGGCAAGAGAGAAAGAAACTGCAAGTATAAATTCATCAAGACTATGGTACTCAAGGTAAGAAACCCTTAAGTGGTGATAGTATTTCACTACTGCTCTTGGCATGACTTCTGACAAAGCATACCTGCAATTGTTTTCCATCTTGCTGTGGAGCAATGTAGCTGACTTGCTGAGATGGTGGGGGTGGAGGTGGAGGAGGAGGTAATCCCTGAGCAATATTTGTGGGAGCAGCTACCTGTATGAGAGGCACTCCAGTAGGGAGGTGCATGGGCATTGGAGGGTGGATGCTGAAAGGATTTCGTTGCATATTCATCAAGGGAGGATGGACACCCACTGGATATGGGAAGATATTCATAGGTTGGTGCTGTGCATTCACTTGTGGCATTGCATTCATTTGTTGCTGCATCATATTTATTGGTAACTGAGAACCATCACTTTGCTGATTGCCTTGCTCTTTGAGGTTTGGATCTATCAAAAGAAAGAACAGACAGTATATGAAGTAGAAAATCTGTGATTCATAAACCAAAAGGAGGGGGAGCCAGGCATCTAAACTCTTCATTAAGGACAGAGTATCAAAAAGCTTTCTATGATCTGAGTCTCTGCAAGATACTGCATTTCATTATTACACAGCACTCACCACCATACACACCAGAGCCAAATGCTGGTTTCAGAGCTAGAAAGTTCACGTTCCTATGGAAGTCTGCATTTTCCATTTCTATTTTTTCTACTTGTTCCCATAACACAGCCAATAAATTATTTCATCACAACAAAGCTGCACTTTTTCAAAGAGCAGGAAAACAACAATTTCTCCAGCTTCTGCAAGTGAAGGTTACTCATACATTATCACATAGGCAATTCTCTGCTCCCCTTTGCCTGATTCACACACTCACTGTACAGTTCTGCTAACTATAGAAATACTCTGATGGGATTTTTCCTACTGAAAACTAAGTCATCCTCAACTAATTTCAGAGATGCTCACATTGGGAAGTTGTTGCAAAACCCCTGTAATGGCAGAACAGGTAAAGCCTAGAAGTAAAAACATCTTGGGGTGGCCCTTGTTAAATAATTACTTTAGTATCACATTCTCTCTTCAACAGAATCCAAAAAAGCTAAAATCTCGATACAAGCAGCAAGGTTTCCAGAAGCCAAGGAGTTAGTTTGGATGGGCTATAATTCAGATGTTCTTCTCTTAGAATCCCTTCCTTGAGGAGCCCTGTCATCCAATTCACAGGGATTGCAATTTAAGGCCTTATGCTTCAGCCCCAAGCCTCATTTTTAAAGATGATGGGATAACAGAACCACTGAGGTTGGAAGGGACCCACTGAGACAGCCTAGTCCAAATGTCCTGCTCACACAGGGGCAGCAAGAGCAGGCTGCCCAGCCAGGCTCATGCTGTGATGCCAGTCTGACCTGTTTTATCCAGTTTTGAGAGATTGTTGTACTATTCTCAGCTGGATTCAGGTTCCAAAAGTGAGTAACAGCATGACTCTTCCTGAACTATGTGCCCAGGTTTGATAAATTTTCCCTGTGGCACACTGAAGGTTGACAATGTTGCCTCAAAACCAAGAAGCCACTGATGCAGTTGTCTCCGAGAAGAGGGAGAAAATTGCTGGCAATGGGATGAAAATGGCTAAAAACAAACAGCAAAACAAGGAAACAATGGGAAAGTGCAAGTGAGGTTGTCTTCAGAAATGGATTTTATAGTGTTTAAATTCCATTCACATCTGTCTAAAGATTATTAGTGCTCTGAAGCATCTGTGGATGACTTCTTAGCTATTCAGAATCAATCACATCCACAATCAACTCACTTTCTACCAAAAATGTTTATTTCTGTCAGGGCAGTTACCTTCCAGATATCAAAAAAACCCCAAACAACTAAAAGACTTTAGACTTCTCTTGAGGTTTTAGAGGAATTTTAAGGCACAGTAAAGCCACTGATTTTGCATTTATAAATTTCCCTCGATTTTTTTAAAGCCTGTAAAGAGGACAATGCTTATTTAGGAGCAAGATAAACATCACCACAGTGATTTATCATCTCTAAAATCTACCATGTGGACCTGCACAGGCAAATTCAAGTCTTTTTGAAAAGAACTGCCCTTTTTTTAAGGTGTCCAGATTCTAAAAGAAACCATGAAGAGGATATGCTTTCCTTTCAGCCAAACTGATTCACTTGAGCAGTGCTCTGCAGGTGCACAGTCCTTAAACCCAAACTTTGACTTGAAGCAAAACCAAAAAGCCATCAAAACACAAGAAATCCCCAAACTCCACACCTTAACCTCTGCATATTGGAAAGAGACTATGGATTCACCTCAAGTTATTTTGAAGAACTAATCAGCTCAAGGCAGGACAACGTGACTATGGTTTTGCTCAGTTACTGCAGCTGTGACTAAGCCATTAGGTTTCAAAACCATTACTACCTTGTTCAGGTGTCTCCTCTTCTTGTCTCATTCCCCATCCAGACTGTGGGCTTGATGAATTGCGTCCTCTTCTTGAGTAGTAATTCTGCACATCAGCAGGTAAAGTCTTTCTTACAGCCCAGCTGGATGCAGATGTCCACCCAGACCTGTCGGCAGGCGTATCGAACGAATAATCCGGTTCATTCTTACGCTTGTATGGCTGATATTCTGAGAACCTTGAAGCCTCATTCCCAGAATCACTGGAGTTTCCTGAGAGAGGTTTTCTATTTTGCCAGTGATTTTCACTCTGCTCTCCATACATGAAACCACCTCGCCCATGCCCACCTCGGCCACGCTGACCTCTCCCTCGACTGGGGACCCAACCTGAACCAAAGTTTTTATTCCAAGAGTGCCCTGAATTATCATGCCTGCCATCTTCCCAATGGGTTTTCTCTCTCTCTCTGCTCCTGACTTCAGGAACAGAGTTTATCCTTTCCATTACCCAGTCTGGACAATCATTCCTCTGCTTGTCTGAAGAACACTGGTCATCATTGCTTTTTTCTCCGTTGTCCCTCTCTTTTTTAAGATTTTCATTCTGTTTGTCTTGATCACTTCTGTATCGATCATTTCCTCTGGGACTCCTCCAGCTGTCATTTGCCCATCTCTCCTTCCAACGAGGTGAATGACTCTCCCTCTCATTTCTAGATAACGAGGAACCTTTATGTCTCGTCCTAGATCGTGATCTCGACCTAGATCGTGACCGTGACCACCTCCTGTTTCTTCTCTCTCTGTCACGATCTCTTCTTTGACTGTCTCTATCACTGCTTCGAGATCTAGATTTTTGCCTTGGAGACAAATCCTTAGTTCTTGACCAAGAAGATGATCTCCTGCTTTCCCTGACAGTTTCCCTTTTGGGAGATCGAGATGATGTTTTCTTCTCATCTTTGAGTGTCTCTCTTTTTGGAGAACAAGATAAGGATCTCCTTCCCTCCCTCACAGTTTCCTTGTTGGGTGATCGTGAGCTCCTGTCTCCGGTCACCTCCCTTTTAGGGGATGATGATTGAGATTTCCTGCCCTCTCTCCTAGGAGACCAAGTTGTCGATGGAGAGTGAAACCTAGATCTTCTAATTCGAGTCTTTTTCTCTGCTTTGAGTTCTGTCTGGGATTCTCTTTCTTGAGGAACAGTTTCATCTTTTTCATTAGAAACTGATGCACAGTTCCCCACATCACACTGTAAGGAGTTCCCTTCTTGCTCTGTACTTTCAGCTGGTGGTAACTGCTCAATCTGAGGTTCATTCTGGTCACTGCAAAGCGAGTCACAATCCATAGGTATCATTTCATTGTTATCTTCACCAAAATGTTTATGTTCAGCATTTACCCGAGGTGACTCTGTGGTCCTACCCTCTTCACCTTCTGAAATGGTGTTCTCCTTTAAGGATTGTTCTGATGTACTGTCTGTAGAAATACTGTGTATTAATATACCTGATTCTTCATCTTGAACAGTTTTTGGACTTGCAGAGTCTACTACAGCTTTTAGTTCAGTCTCAGAATTATCTGTTTCCACGGCTTCAGGATGCTCAGGCAATTCACTTCTGGGGCTCTCTAACGGCTGATCTTTTCCCAAAGGATTTTCCATCAATTCATCTTCTGGACTAGCTATGGGTTGATCTACTTTTGTTAAAGTTTCTACATTCTCCATTAATTCATTTTGAGGACTACACGATGTCTGATCTACTTTTTCAAAAGTGGCATGGTCACATACATCATCTTTGGGACTAGCTACTGCTTCCATTTGTTCAAGAGTATTTTCACAGATGTCCTGACTGGCAAGATCTACATCTTTTTCAGTAAAACCTTTTGCTTCAAATTCTTGACTTTCACCTCCTAAAGTTAATACTGGAGGTTCTTGGACAGAAAAACTTAAATCAGCATTGCCTGAAGTATCCTGAACTTTGTCACATTCTCCTGTGGTTTCCTCAATTTCTGCATGTGCACTACAGGTTTCCAGTCCATTAGCAGATTCTGTCTCTACATTATTCTTCTGTGGAAGGCTTGTGTTACTGCTTTCATCATCTGACTGATGGTCTTTATCTAATGTTAGAACTGCTTCAGACTCAGCAATGTCATCATCTTCCACTGAACCACTGGGCGATTTTTCAGAACGTGCAGAACTTCTCAGTTTCTTTTTAACCACAGGTGTTTGTTTAACTGCTCTTTTAGCCTTGCGCTTTGGAGGAGCTTTCTCTGGTTCTGCAGGAGATTTATTCAGAGGTGGGTCAGTGCCATCAGGGGCACTGCAAGCAGCACTGCTCGATCGAGGTGAGCTCCGGGATTGAGTCAGGGTCTCATTTTTGCTGTTTCGTGCAGATCTTCTTCTAGGAGTAGTATTAGCTGATTTCCTCCTAGTTCCTCTAGTGCCAGATGACCCAGAAGCTTGTTTTTTCTCTTCTCCTTCTTGGGTACACGCAATGGCATATCCTTTGCCTAAAGATTCTAATAAAAGCAGAACACGTTAAAAGTTTGGTAATAACCGTTAATCTGAACACAGTTAAGAACAAAAAAGTCTCTTCTGCATTTTAACAGACAGCCTCAAAATACACAATTTAAGACTGAGTATGAAATACTGCCACAGCTTCTTTTTTAAATTTTCATGCAGACTGTTTTGTTTTTTTAAAGAACAGAACCAACAAAGTGACACATTAGACATCGAAACAAATTTCAGAAGCAGTGCCAGCATGGCTATATGGACAGTAATGGCATTCACCACGAAACTGTACTGATATTGCTGCTCAAAGACAGGCAGCATTTAAGCTGTTAGAAAAGTAAAGAATTAACCACACAACACTGTTAGCATATAGCAGTTCCTGCTGTTCTGTAGCACAGGCCTGTTGGCAGTACTACTGGGGGAGTGTGGATCTGCTGGAAGGCAGGAGGGCTCTGCAGAGGGACCTGGATAGGCTGGAGAAATGGGCTGATCCCAACAGGATGAGGTTTAACAAGGCCA